CTTTCTGTCTAGTGGTGATTCCCAAGCAATTCAGCTCATTCCCATTTCGCTGGTGGACAGAGAAGACCGGCTGCTTTGGCATCTTAACAAGTCTGGGCTGTATTCGGTAAAATTTGATTATTGGGTGGCAAAGATGTCCAAGCAAGAGAGTTCTCAGTCACAACCGTCCAGCTCTTTTCAACTTCCCGAAGGGTTCTGGAAGAATCTGAGGAACATTAAGGCCCCTCCCAAACTCAAGCACTTTTGGTGGCGCTTTGTAAGAATCTTTTGGTTTCTAAGGTTAATCTCCATCGACGGCGATGCTCAACCTCTCAGGTTTGTCCTATTTGCTTGAAGGATGACGAATTGGTAGAACATTTGTTATTTGATTGTCCGTGGACTCAAGCTGTGTGGTTCGACAGCCTGTTGAATATTAGAATTGAGAAAGGGTCTGTGGTGAATGTGGCAGAATGAACGAATAGTTGGATGCAATTACAGCGGCAGGTTGATGGCATGGATTTGGTCCTCAACAAAATTGTATTCATTGGGTGGCATATTTGGAAAGCGAGAAATGCCTTCTTATTCAATCAGGTCCCTATTGACCCCATGGCTACAATTGAGAAAATCGCTCAGGTGTGGTATGAATACCATGCACATTGCCAAATAGGCCACACTGCTCACATTGCTACACTAGTTCCAGCACTGGTGGAGGCTGCGGGATGGCAACCTGCACCTCTTGGGGAGTGTAAAATCAATTATGATGCAAGCTTTAACAAATACAAAGCCATAGCAACTGCTGCTGCTATTATGAGAGACTCTGCGGGCCATGTTATTGATGGCTTTGTCTCCTCCTTTCCAGCTTCCTCTGCCTTTGTGGCTGAAGCCCATGCTGTGAGAATGGCGGCTATGAGGACCCAAGCCCATGCTGTGACTGTTTTGAAGTTATAAAACTGGGAGTGGGTGAAACCGTGCCCCCGTGGGAAGGATTGGCAATATTACTTGACATCCGCCATCTGGTCAGAGTGGGGAATGTGCAGTTGAAGTGGACTAACAGAAACAACAACTAGGTTGCTCATTGGGTAGCAAAGAATCATGCTTGCAATCTCTTGCCTTTGAATTGGGTGGCTAACCCACCTGCAGCTCTTGCTGCTCTCCTTAATGGTGATGTAACTTTTTCTGTTAGTTGATTTTATATATATTCCCACCGTTCAAAAAAAATATATATATATGGAAGCAACCGGAACTCATTCATGAAATAGAGAATATTTTGCTTCAAACACCACATCTAATCTGTCTGAAAAAAATCATATTGGAAACATAAATTTGCTGCTATGCTTATGGTAGCATTTCATTACAATTACGACATCAATTGGCAAATCTTGATTCACAACTACAACATTTTAAAGTATAAATTAACCACAATATATAAATTCAATGTAGAAGGCCCTACTATACACACACACACACACACATGTATATATAATTAAAAAAAAAAGCACTGAACAGTTGAAGCTTGCATGAGGAAATTCAAGGTAATATGAACCGTGATCATAGATTGAAATAGCAGTAAGTTGATGGAAAAATAATTAATTACAGAGGCACATAATGTTTTATTCTTTCAGAAACATAAATTACATCAGCATCTATGGCGAAACTCTCATCTCACCTGGCAACAAATTCCAACTTGGTTTCTTTTCCACTATGGGAGAATCCGGCTACGTAGCCAGATACATAGGAATATGGTATTACATGTTGAACCCATCGACAATTGTGTGGGTTGCCAACCGTGACAGCCCGCTATTCAGTACAACTGGCGTTTTCACCATTGCAGAATGTTAAGATTGAAATGTATTATTGATTTTTTTGATTACAAGATTGTTGTGTATATTGATATTTTTGTTATGTATACAATGATCAAATATATAGAAGAGAAGAAGGTAGTAGGTGAAGTGGTAGGGGATGAAGTGGAGGTGGTAGTGGTAGGTTAGGTGAGGAGGTGAGTGTGTGTGGTAGGTGGTAGTAGTGGGTTAGGTTTAGTGGGTTTAACATTGGCAATTCGGGATTTCTTTAATGTGGGGTCTGTTTTTCCTAAATGGAACAACACTAATTCGGTCTTAATTCCCAAGGAAGCGACTTAGGAGAAACTTTCACAATATAGACCGATCAGCCTGTGTAATTTCAAAATGAAGATTATCACTAAGCTTATGGCCAACCGACTCAAACGCTTTCTCCACCCTCTTATCTCCCCAAATCAGGCGGCCTTTATTTCGGGCAGACTAATTCAAGATAGTATTCTGGTGGCACATGAAGGGTTTCACTATTTGAAGCAGAAAAAAAAGGGGGAGACAAGCGGATTTAGCTTTAAAACTAGACTTCTCCAAGGCATATGATCGTATTCAATGGGACTTCCTCAAAGCTGTGCTTCAGAAAATGGGTTTTCATGACCTTTGGATCTATTGGGTAATGACGTGTGTTACTACAGTCCAGTTTTCCATCTTTGCGAATGGGGAAAAGAGGGCATCCTTTACACCCTCCTGTGGCCTTACACAAGGCGACCCGTTGTCTCCATATCTGTTTGTCTTGGTGGCTGAGACTTTGTCCAAGTTGATCGATGGGAAAGTTTGGGACAACCAAATTACAGGCATCAAGATGAGGACTTGCCCAGTGTTGTCCCACCTTTTCTTCGCCGATGATGTTCTTCTATTTTTCAAGGCTACTCTTGTGGAGAGTATGGCAATGGCTCAGACTCTCCAGGTATATAGCTCGGCTTTGGGTCAACACCTCAATTTCGGTAAATCGGAAGTTTTCTTCTCAGCCAACGCTCCTCCGAAGTTGAAAGGGCAGATCTGTGAGTTGCTAAGCACTCCACTTGCCAGGCCAAATGCCAAATATTTAGGACTCCCATCATGGTGGGGCCGATCCAAATCTACTGCTTATGGTGTTTTGGTGGACAGGATGGTTTCCAAAATGCAAGGTTGGAAGAATAAACTACTTTCCCATGCTGGAAGAGAAGTCTTGTTAAAGGCGGTAGTCCAAGCAATTCCTTCATATGCTATGGCGTGTTCTGCCTTTCCTAAATCTTTTGGTGCTAAGGTTAATAGAGTCATTCGGAACTTTTGGTGGAAGGGAGATCCAATGAATAGAGGAATTCCCTGGGCCAATTGGGAGAAAATGAGTTTTTCAAAATTCCATGGGGGTATGGGTTTTCATGACTTCTCAGCCTTTAATCAGGCCATGTTAGCTAAACAGGGTTGGAGACTTATCACCAATCCACATTCCTACTGGGCACAACTCTACAAAGGACTGTACTTACCACATACCAATTTCCTCCGTGCTACAACTGGAGCGAGATCTTCGTGGGCCTAGACTAGTTTGCTTAAGGGGAGGGATCTCTTGAACAAAGGGATGCGATGGCAGGTCCAAAATGGTGAGTCTATTTAGTTCTGAGATGATAAATGGATACCAACAGTGCCTTCTTTTCAGATTTCTTCCCCAAAACCTCCACATTGTGACAGTTTTAGATGCAATTGATCCCATAAGGAAACAGTGGAAAATTGAGAACATTCAACACTTTCTGTCTAGTGGTGATTCCCAAGCAATTCAGCTCATTCCCATTTCGCTGGTGGACAGAGAAGACCGGCTGGTTTGGCATCTTAACAAGTCTGGGCTGTATTCGGTAAAATTTGATTATTGGGTGGCAAAGATGTCCAAGCAAGAGAGTTCTCAGTCACAACCGTCCAGCTCTTTTCAACTTGCCGAGGGTTCTGGAAGAATCGGAGGAACATTAAGGCCCCTCCCAAACTCAAGCACTTTTGGTGGCACTTTGTAAGAATCTTTTGGCTTCTAAGGTTAATCTCCATCGACGGCGATGCTCAACCTCTCAGGTTTGTCCTATTTGCTTGAAGGATAACGAATTGGTAGAACATTTGTTATTCGATTGTCCGTGGACTCAAGCTGTGTGGTTAGACAGCCTGTTGAATATTAGAATTGAGAAAGGGTCTGGTGAATGTGGCAGAATGAACGAATAGTTGGATGCAATTACAGCGGCAGGTTGATGGCATGGATTTGGTCCTCAACAAAATTGTATTCATTGGGTGGCATATTTGGAAAGCGAGAAATGCCTTCTTATCCAATCAGGTCCCTATTGACCCCATGGCTACAATTGAGAAAATCGCTCAGGTGTGGTATGAATACCATGCACATTGCCAAATAGGCCACACTGCTCACATTGCTACACTAGTTCCAGCACTGGTGGAGGCTGAGGGATGGCAACCTGCACCTCTTGGGGAGTGTAAAATCAATTATGATGCAAGCTTTAACATATACAAAGCCATAGCAACTGCTGCTGCTATTATGAGAGACTCTGCGGGCCATGTTATTGATGGCTTTGTCTCCTCCTTTCCAGCTTCCTCTGCCTTTGTGGCTGAAGCCCATGCTGTGAGAATGGCGGCTATGAGGACCCAAGCCCATGCTGTGACTGTTTTGAAGTTATAAAACTGGGAGTGGGTGAAACCGTGCCCCCGTGGGAAGGATTGGCAATATTACTTGACATCCGCCATCTGGTCAGAGTGGGGAATGTGCAGTTGAAGTGGACTAACAGAAACAACAACTAGGTTGCTCATTGGGTAGCAAAGAATCATGCTTGCAATCTCTTGCCTTTGAATTGGGTGGCTAACCCACCTGCAGCTCTTGCTGCTCTCCTTAATGGTGATGTAACTTTTTCTGTTAGTTGATTTTATATATATTCCCACCGTTCAAAAAAAATATATATATATGGAAGCAACCGGAACTCATTCATGAAATAGAGAATATTTTGCTTCAAACACCACATCTAATCTGTCTGAAAAAAATCATATTGGAAACATAAATTTGCTGCTATGCTTATGGTAGCATTTCATTACAAGTATACTAGCAAATTGCCCAACAATAAACCCACATGCTTATGTCAATTCCTCAAGAATCAAACCAAGATGCCACAACATATGAAATTTCCTAGGAAAATAGTAGAATTAAAAAATTACTTGCAGTTGTAAGGAGTAGCAAATTCACTAGATTTCAAGCCCCAACCTTGCTTCCATTTGAGCATCGTTGTCACCTGACATCCTTTCAAGTACTATGCAAGAAAAAGGATAAATTACACTTTGCACCCTTACATTTTGCACAAAATCTCACTTTAGTCCCTACACATGAAATCGTGATAGTCAACTCCCTGCACTTTTGGTCAAATCCCACTTTGGTCCCTACATATAAAATCGTGGCATTTAACCCTTGCATTTCTGGTCAAGTGTCAATTTGCCCCTTATGTTACTCAATTATTTAAGTTTTTAACAAAATCCAGTCATGTAACAAACATGTGACTATGAAATGAGGGCAAGAAAGGAAAATCATTATCATTTCCCACCAGTATACTGTCCCACGTGATAAGCATGTGAGAGTTATATATATACATACATATATGTGTGTGTGTGTGTGTTCATATGCTGAAAATTAGGACGAAAAGGTAAGACAGTAGAGCTTTTGAATTAAAAAAAAAAAATGCAGCAGAGAAATCAAAGACTATTATTGTGGACAACAAAGTTTCATTATTCCAATTTTTGCAAAACCCTAGTTTATCTCCTTAATCGTTCACAATTTACGTTTTGTTTTAGCTGAATACAATCAAAATTTAATATAAATTTTAGGACAAAATGTGTATAGACAGGAAATTTGGGTGATTTTTCTCTTTTGCTATCATCTTATAGTCATATGCTTGTCACATTATTGACTGTCACGATTTGACCAGAAGTGTAGAGGGTTGACTGTCACGATTTCATGTGTAGGGACCAAAGTGAAATTTGGTGCAAAATTCAAGGGTGCAAAGTGTAATTTACCCCAAGAAAAAAGTAATACCAAATTGTATATGGAAGCAACCGGAACTCATTCATGAAATAGAGAATATTTTGCTTCAAACACCACATCTAATCTGTCTGAAAAAAATCATATTGGAAACATAAATTTGCTGCTATGCTTATGGTAGCATTTCATTACAATTACGACATCAATTGGCAAATCTTGATTCACAACTACAACATTTTAAAATATAAATTAACCACAATATATAAATTCAATGTAGAAGGCCCTACTACACACACACACACACACACACACACACACACACATGTATATATAATTAAAAAAAAAGCACTGAACAGTTGAAGCTTGCATGAGGAAATTCAAGGTAATATGAACCGTGATCATAGATTGAAATAGCAGTAAGTTGATGGAAAAATAATTAATTACAGAGGCACATAATGTTTTATTCTTTCAGAAACATAAATTACATCAGCAGATCCAGCAGGAAACAAAATTGAATATTATTATGATTTCATTGTAGAAATTCAACAATCAAATTTTCAACGACAATGCAAATCACCAAAATTACATGATACATTGAGGGAATTTGTCAAAAATGAAATTGAATTTTAACATATCTACAAGCTCATTCAACAAACAACCACAAAAAACTAAAATTTATCAAACGCAACAAGAAATGCAAGCAAATATTTGAACTCTACAACTAAACCAACAACAACACAAGTTTTGAAAGCCACCTAAAATCAATAGAAAATGGCATCGACAACACTGAAATCAAAATCTAAAATTGAAAATAATGAACATACTAATATTAGAGCTGAATCAAAAAATGTAATGGAAAGAGAAATTGAGAGGGAAGAGAGAGTAACTCACCGATTTGAAAGAAGAACAATAAGCTGGTGAGAATATGCAACTGCAGAAAACATATATATAGTTAGGGTTTAGAAATTGAGAGTGAGAGAGAGAGAGAGAGAGAGAGAGAGAGAGAGAGTTGCCTGGTGAGGACACAACTGCAAAATCGTAATGGTCGAAGTTGTTCAATTCACAGTGGCTTGGATTTCGGCGTTACAGCAGTGGCATGAGATAAATGACGAAGAAAATATCCCAAAAGAAAATGTCGTGGGACCGTGAGAGAGGGATGAGAGGAAGGAGTTACTAAGTGATTGTGTGAGAAAGACAGGAATTAGAGAGAGAAGGAAAAGAGAGAGGTAATCCAGGAGAGGGTCCTTCAGGGTTCAAGAATTTAGGAGGGATTTGGCCAAAATTTTGGAGGAAATTTTAATTTGGGGTAAAATTGGTCCTAATTCTTTATAGATGTAAAAAAGATGTTATGCTTGTTAAATTAACATTTTTATTTTATGTCATATTATTTATTTTTTTTATAAATTTTACTTTATTAAAGTTTTATTAGTTTTTCAAATAAAAATAATAATTTTTATGGTAACTCATATGGTAACTAGAGGCACTTTGTTTCTCAAAAAAAAGAAAAAAAAAAAACTGGAGGCACTTTAAATTGAAGAATATGTCAAATCAGTAAAAATTAATGATATTTTGATAAAATTAATTAATTATATAGTTAACTTATTTTATAATAATTATACAATAACATATTTACATATAGTGATAGCATTAAATATATAAAAAGTGTCTAATGGAAAGTATTTGATATATATGTCACACCCTCGTTCTAGTATCGGGTATTCAACATGGATATTTGATTGATTTTCAAGAGTATATAACATGAGAGAGAGTAAGTTAAAACCAAAATTTGTACTAAAACATTGAGCATTTGACTCCATAGCACTGAAGAATTTAGTTGCACATTTGAAAGATATCACAGGATTCAAACAAACAAGCTATTGTATACCAAATCAAGTATAAACATGAACACAACTAAATATCACTTAACAAGTGACAAATGCAAAGAGTAAAATATAGTATAATGAAAAAAATGTAAAGATAGATGCTTCTAATATCATCCCTAATGTATATGTAGCTACTAACAACACTAACCAATCTAGGTATCCCTCAAAAAAGAATTTAAATGAACAAAAGCAATAAGCTTTAGCTAAAATTAGTTGACCTACCAATTGAAGAGTCCAGCAAGTTAAACCTAAATATGTAAACATTGAGCATTTGACTCCATAGCACTGAAGAATTTAGTTGCACATTTGAAAGATATCACTTGATTCAAACAAACAAGCAATTGTATACCAAATCAAGTATAAGCATGAACACAACTCACTATCACTTACCAAGTGACAAATGCAAAGAGTAAAATTTAGTATAATGAGAAAAATCTAAGGATAGATGCTTCTAACATCACCCCTAATGTATATGTAGCTACTAACAACACTAATCAATCTAGGTATCCCTCGAAAAAGAATTTAAATGAACACAAGCAATAAGCTTTAGCTGAAATTAGTTGACCTTGAAGAGGCCAGTTGTGAAAATATATTGTGTATATTCTCAATTTGGCATGATTATGTATATTAGGAATTAGGAACGATTGTGGTGTAAATATTTAAATTAGCTGTATTTCTTTTTTAGTCATAGGTTTAGGGTTATATAAACTGACGAACTCTTTGTAAATAAGATACAATTGAATATACAGTTTCATTCAGAAAACTTACATGGTATCAGAGCTTGGTTGGGCTTGTGATTGGTGTACCATTTGTCTGGCTAGTATATGTTGTCCTCCAGGTGGGTGTGTTAGAATATGTCCCACATTGTTTGGAGTTGCCCAATCTGTGCCAGTTATAAGCCTCTAGATTCCCTCTCCTTAATACCTGGGTTTTAAGGTGAAGTGTGGGTTGGGCTTTTCAATTTGGTATCAAAGCTTTTCCTTTTGAAGTCCCTCTTGATGAGTACATCTCTACTGTTCCCCCTGAATTTGTTCCCTCTTTTTCCACTGAACCCCATGAATCTGCTCTGTTTCTCCTCCTTCTCCCCAGCCTACTCCTCCTCCTCCTCCATGGCTAGTTTATTCTCGTCGCCAAACTCTCCCTCCACCAGTTGTCTTTGCCCCTACTGTTGACCCTTTTGCTTTTGACAACTCTGATCCTACTGCACACAGATATCTTACTAGAGAGCGTCATCCTCCAAACAGGTTCGGTTGGTCTCATATAAGTTTTTCTGCTTCCTATCGTACTTTTTTGTCTACTATTCATTTTTTTTTTTTAGAACCTCAGTCTTAAAAGGAGGCCTGTCAGGATCCCAATTAGGTTCGAGCTATGAAGGATGAGTTGTTTGCCTTACAGAAGACTAATAGTTGGGCGTTTGTCCCGTTGCCTGCTGGCAAGAATCTAGTTGGTTGTAAATGGGTCTATAAAGTTGAGACTCATTTTGATGGTTCTCTCGAGCGAAACAAAGCTCGCCCAATTGCCAAGGGTTTCTTGTAGGAGTACGATATTGATTATGATGAGACGTTTACCTCTATTGCCAAGATGACTACTGTCCGTACCTTGATTTTTGTTGCCGTTATTCGACATTGCTCCCTCTATCAAATGGACGTTAAGAATGCTTTTCTTAATGGTCATCTCACTGAGGTCTACATACGTCCACCCCCTAGCCTTTCCCAATCCTCAGGACAGATTTGTTGTCTTCGGCGCGCTCTATATGGTTTGAAGTAATCTCCTCGTACTTGGTATGGTCATTTTCAGACTGCTATTACTAAGCTTGGATTTCATCCTTCTGCATCTGACTCTGCTTTGTTTCTGTGACATACGTCGGCTGGTTTTGTTGCTCTCTTACTATATGTGGATGATATGATCATCACTAACTCTTCTGCTATCTCTGAGGTCAAGCAGCATCTCTTCCGCACCTTCGAGATGAAAGATCTGGGTCCATTGCAGTATTTTCTTGGTATTGAGATTACTTTTTCTCCAAAGGGCTATTTTCTATCTTAGGCTAAGTATGCTAATTAGGTCATTCACTGTGCTGGTCTCACTGATACTAAGGTTTCTGATACACCTACTAAGCTAAATGTGAAGCTCAACTCTACTGATGGTGTCTCTCTAGATGATCCCACTTCATATCACAAGCTTGTGGATTGCTTAGCCTATCTGGCGGTTACTCATCCTGATCTTGCCTATGTTGTTCATGTGGTTAGCCAGTTTGTTTCTGCTCCTCGCTCCACACATTGGGCTGCATTGGTTCGGATTCTTCACTATCTTCGAGGTTCTATGTTTCAGGATTTACTATTATCCTCTACTTCTTCTCTAGATTTGGTGGCTTATGCTAATTCTGATTGCGCTAGTAATGTTACTGATTACAAGTCTACGTCTAGTTTCTGCATGTTTCTTAGCAATTCCTTGATCTCTAGGAAAAACAAGAAACAAATTGTTGTTGCTCGCTTTGCTGCCGAAGCTGAGTACTGTGCTATGGCTCATGCTACTGCTGAGATTGTTTGGCTTCGTTGTCTCTTATCTGATTTGGGTGTCCCTCAGTCTTCTCCGACCTCCCTCTATTGTGATAACTGCAGTGCTATTTGGATTGCCCACAATATTGTCTTCCATGAATGGACGAAACACATTGAGATTGATTGTCATTTTGTCCGACAACATCTGTAGTCTGGCTCTATCTCGCTTCCTTGTCTCTTTGGCTTTGCAACTTACGAACTTCTTCACCAAGACTCACACTACCGCTCGGTTTCAATTTCTTCTTGACAAACTTTCAATATTTTCTACTACAACACCTTGAGTTTGAGCGGGGAAGTGAGAATATGTTGTGTATATTCTCAATTTGGCATGATTGGGTATATTAGGAATTAGGAACTAGGAACAATTGTGGTGTAAATATTTGAATTAGTTGTATTTCCGTTTTCAGTCATAGGTTTATATAAATTGATGACTCTTTGTAAATAAGATACAATTGAATAAATAGTTTCATTCAGAAAACTTACACCAACAACATTTCAGGCCCTTATAAATTATCAATAAAGACACCAAAATAAAATTTTCATACCTATCAATTTTCATGACATATTACTATTTTTTATAAGCAACAAAAACAAAAACTAATATTAGCACTTGTCCATACAAGAAACATCCAACAAAGAAAGAGATATAAATGCAAAGTACATGTACCCATAACAATAGCAAAATACAACCACCCCATAATAATAGCAAAATATCAACAAAAATAGAATAACAATGACCAAAATCAGCAACATTCATAGAAGTAGATCATTTCCAACAGCTTCTTGAATTCCGTGTTCACAATATCCTTTGAAACCACCTTGAATGATTCCAACAAAACAAGTACTTACACCCCTTTCTCCCCCCGCTGCTAATCCATAGAGAATGCATTTTCCTTTTACCTTTGACCTTGCATTTTGTCAAAGGCTGAGGCAAGCAATATTGACACAACTTTCTTAAACTACTTAAGTGAACACCTAAGTCAAAATTATTCAAGATAAAGCTATATACGCTTACCACCCTTATGCGAATCAAAGATAGGTGCCCCAAATGACCCAATCATGCTGTGAAAATTATTGATTTGAATCACGTTTAACTTAAGGTCAACATTTTTTCTTGGTTAATTACATCTCCAACCATCCTCTAGTTTGGAGTTGTAGACCTAGGAGAAAAACACTAAGACTCCGAGTATCTCTTGCCGCTTGATCTGGACTTGAAGGAGGAGAAGCATTTTTACACGGAAAAGCAACTTATCCTACGACCAAGCTATAATATAGGTCAAGAGGGTGATATAGCATAAACTTCCATTTTTAAGTCAATAAAATCGTCATTGCCAAACTTGGCAAAGTTAAATTCAACCCCTTCTCCTAGACTATCTATCACTTTCACCAATGCTAAATCTCATTCTCTATTTACTGAAACCAATCTGGCTAGCCAAAATTCTTCTTCATCTACACGGCGAACAGTTATCGTTTCAAGATTATCGGGTTGGATGTGTGCACATGTCAAAACAAACCCACTTTATTTAAAATGACCCCACCACCATGTACCACATTCATTATGCTTGATGGCTCTCCAACTAATGAATACTTACATTTGCCACTCTCATTTCCAGCCAAAGAAGGATTTTTCAAGTAAAGTATTAGTCTAGTCTCTATAAGTACCACAACCTGTTTCATTCTATCATAACAATGTGGCCTTTGTTGTAGTAAAAGGCAATCATCATCGTTTGAAAATTCTTGTTCAAAACTGATTTCCATGGCCTATAAGAACAATGATTATTGGATTACAAACTGAAACACTTCCTATTTCCATGATGAAAAAAACAACAGAGACGGAAAAAAAATGGATGAAAGGGGAAAACAGAAATGAACACAAACGAAATAGATAATAAAAAAATAAAGACACGCAAACATAGATATGAAGATTAAAGATTATGCAACAGTAAATTCAAGCATTGCCCGTAAAGATTATTAAAATATAAAAACTTTATGCAACATTCCAATTATTACCTATAAACTACATAAAGTTCTTATATTTTAGTAACATTTACAGGGCAATGCGTGAATTTATTGCTGCATATCGTTTTTCATGTCTGTTTTTATGTCTTTGTTTTTTAATTTTTTATTATCTATTTCTTTTTTCTTCATGTTTGTTTTTCCCCTTTCTCCATCAATATTTTGTCCTATCTATATTTTTTTTCCATCAGGGATATAAGAATTGTTTCAATTTGTAATCCAGTACTCATTGTTCTTATAGGTCATGGAAATCAGCTTTGAACACTGTCTTTTACTACAACAAAGGCCCCAGTTTTATGATAAAATAAAACAAGTTGTGGTGCTTATAGAGATTAGATTAAATACCCTCCTTGAAAAATCTATCTTTGGCTGGAAATGAGAGTGGCAAATGCAAGTATTCCTTAGTTGGAGAGCCATCAAACATAATGAATGTGGTACATGGTGATGGGGTCATTTTAAACAAGGTGGGTTTGTTTTGACATGTGCACACATCCAACCCGATAATCTTGAAACGATAACTCTTCGCCATGCAGATGAATAAGAATTTTGGCTAGCCAAATTGGTTTCAGTAAATAGAGAGTGAGATTTAGCATTGGTGAAACTGATAGATAGTCTTGGGGAAGGGGTTGAATTTAACTTTGCCAAGTTTGGCAATGAAGATTTTATTGACTTAGAAATGAAAGTTTATGCTGTATCTCACCTAGCTGACCTATATTATAGCTTGGTCATAGGACAAGTTGCCTTTAGATGTAAAAATGCTCCTCCTCCAAGTCCAGATCGAGCTGCAAGATACTCAGAGTCATAGTGTTTCTCCTAGGTCTACAACTCAACTCCAAACTACGGGATGATTGGAGATATAATTAACCAAGAAAGAAGTTGAACGTGATTCAAATCAATAATTTTCATAGTATGATTGGGTCATTTGGGGAGCCTATCTTTGATTCGCATGGAAGGGTGATAGGCGTATTTTACTTCGGTATTCATTTAAGTAGTTTAAGAAAATTCTGACAAGATTGCTGAAGGAAAATGCATTCTCTATGGATTAGCAACAGGGGAAAGGGGCGTAGGCAGTTGTTTTGATTGAATCATACAAGGGGGTGTCAATGGATATTGTGAACATGGAATTTAAGAAGCTATTGGAAATGATCTACTTCCATGAATGTTGCTAATTTTAGTCATTCTTGTTCTATTTTTGCTGATATTTTGCTTTTTTTGTAGGGGTAATGTACTTTGCATTTGTATCTCTTTCTTTGTTGGATATGGACAAGTTCCTACGCCCCTTTCTCCCCTCGCTGCCAATCCATAGAGAATGCATTCTCCTTTTACCTTTGTCTTTGACCTTGCATTTTGTCAAAGGCTGAGGTAAGCAATATTGACACAACTTTCTTAAACTACTTAAGTGAACACCTAAGTCAAAATTATTCAAGATAAAGCTATATACGCTTACCACCCTTCCATGCGAATCAAAGATAGGTGCACCAAATGACCCAATCATGCTGTGAAAATTACTGATTTGAATCACGTTTAACTTCTTGTGTAGGTCAGCAAGGTCAACATCTTCCTTGGTTAATTACATCTCCAACCATCCTCTAGTTTGGAGTTGTAGACCTAGGAGAAAAACACTAAGACTTCGAGTATCTCTTGCCGCTTGATTTGGACTTGAAGGAGGAAGAGCATTTTTACATGGAAAGGCAACTTGTCCTACGACTTAGCTATAACATAGGTCAACCGGGTGACATATAACATAAACTTCCGTTCTTAAGTCAATAAAATCTTCATCGCCAAACTTGGCAAAGTTAAATTCAACCCCTTCTCATAGACTATCTATCACCTTCACCAATGCTAAATCTCATTCTTTACTTACCAAAACCAATTCAGCTAGCCAAAATTCTTCTTCATCTACACAGCGAAGAGTTATCGTTTCAAGAATATCGGGTTGGATGTGTGCAAATGTCAAAACAAACCGACTTCATTTAAAATGATCACACCACCATGTACCACATTCATTATGTTTGATGGCTCTCCAACTAATGAATAATTCCATTTGCCACTCTCATTTCCAGCCAAAGAGGGATTTTTCAGGGAGGGTATTAATATAGTCTCTATAAGCACCACAACATGTTTCATTCTATCATAAAATTGTGGCATTTGTTGTAGTAAAAGGCAATCATCATTGTTTGAAAATTCTTGTTCAAAACTGATTTCCATGGCCTATAAGAACAATGATTATTGGATTACAAACTGAAACACTTCTTATTTCCATGATGAAAAAAACAACAGAGATGGAAAAAAAAATGGATGAAAGGGGAAAACAGACATGAACAAATACGAAATAGATAATAAAAAAATAAAGACACAAACATAGATATGAAGATTAAACATTATGCAACAGTAAATTCAAGCATTGCCCGTAAAGATTATTAAAATATAAAAACTTTATGCAACATTCCAATTATTACCTATAAACTACGTAAAGTTTTTATATTTTAGTAACATTTACAAGGCAATGCGTGAATTTATTGTTGCATATCGTTTTTCTTCATGTCAGTTTTTATGTCTTTGTTTTTTAATTTTTTATTATCTATTTCTTTTTTCTTCATGTTTGTTTTTCCCCTTTCTCCATCAATATTTTGTCCTATCTATATTTTTTTTTCATCATGGATATAAGAATTGTTTCAATTTGTAATCCAGTACTCATTGTTCTTATAGGTCATGGAAATCAGCTTTGAACACTGTCTTTTACTACAACAAAGGCCCCAGTTTTATGACAAAATAAAACAAGTTGTGGTGCTTATAGAGATTAGATTAAATACCCTCCTTGAAAAATCTCTCTTTGGCTGGAAATGAAAGTGGCAAATGCAAGTATTCCTTAGTTGGAGAGCCATCAAACATAATGAATGTGGTACATGGTGATGGGGTCATTTTAAACAAGGTGGGTTTGTTTTGACACGTGCACACATCCAACCCGATAATCTTGAAACGATAACTCTTTGCCATGCAGATGAATAAGAATTTTGGCCAGCCAAATTGGTTTCAGTAAATAGAGAGTGAGATTTAGCATTGGTGAAACTGATAGATAGTCTAGGGGAAGGGGTTGAATTTAACTTTGCTTTTTCTTCATGTTTGTTTTTCCCCTTTCTCCATCAATATTTTGTCCTATCTATATTTTTTTTCCATCATGGATATAAGAATTGTTTCAATTTGTAATCCAGTACTCATTGTTCTTATAGGTCATGAAAATCAGCTTTGAACACTGTCTTTTACTACAACAAAGGCCCCAGTTTTATGACAAAATAAAACAAGTTGTGGTGCTTATAGAGACTAGATTAAATATCCTCCTTGAAAAATCTCTCTTTGGCTGGAAATGAGAGTGGCAAATGCAAGTATTCCTTAGTTTGAGAGCCATCAAACATAATGAATGTAGTACATGGTGATGGGGTCATTTTAAACAAGGTGGGTTTGTTTTGACATGTGCACACATCCAACCCGATAATCTTGAAACGATAACTCTTCGCCATGCAGATGAATAAGAATTTTGGCCAGCCAAATTGGTTTCAGTAAATAGAGAGTGAGATTTAGCATTGGTGAAATTGATAGATAGTCTAGGGGAAGGGGTTGAATTTAACTTTGCCAAGTTTGGCAATGAAGATTTTATTGACTTAGAAATGGAAGTTTATGCTATATCTCACCTAGCGGACCTATATTATAGCTTGGTCATAGGACAAGTTGCCTTTCCATGTAAAAATGGTCCTTCTCCAAGTCCAAATTGAGCTGCAAGAGATACTCAGAGTCATAGTGTTTCTCCTAGGTCTACAACTCCAAGCTAGAGCATGGTTGGAGATATAATTAACCAAGAAAGATGTTGACCTTGCTGAACTACACAAGAAGTTAAATGTGATTCAAATCAATAATTTTCATGGCATGATTAGGTCATTTGCGACGCCTATCTTTGGTTCACATGGAAGGGTGATAGGCATATATAGTTTTATCTTGAATATTTTTTCCTTCGGTATTCATTTAAGTAGCTTAATAAAATTCTGTCAAGATTGCTTACCTCAGTCTTGGATAAAACGCAAGGTCAAAGACAAAGGTAAAAGAAAAATGCATTCTCTACGGATTAGCAGCGGGGGAAAGGGGCATAGGTAGTTGTTTTAATTGAATCATACAAGGGGGTGTCAATGGATATTGTGAACATGGAATTTAAGAAGCTATTGGAAATGATATACTTCAATGAATGTTGCTAATTTTAGTCATTCTTGTTCTATTTTTGCTGATATTTTGTTATTGTTGTGGGGTAATGTACTTTGCATTTGTATCTCTTTCTTTGTTGGATATGGACAAGTTTATTTTGTTGATGATAAAAAAATGGTAATTTGTTATGATCATTATTGGTAGATACGATAATCATATTTTGGTGTCTTTGTGAGTCAAGTAGGAAAAATATTTGTTTGTTAGTCATTTGGATGTTTGTGGAAATGATCATTATTTGACAGTTTGGCAGGTGAAACTACAGTTTCTTCTATTGAATTATCATCTTCTTGGGGACTTGCTCTCCTATTTGGATTCCTCTTTTCGATTGGAGAAGTGTGAAGTTAATATGAAACTTTGGTGATTATAGTGGTGCTTGAACATTTGCTCTTACAAAGTTCCAAGTTTTTCTGTTTGATGTATGTTGTGGTAATTGATTTTTCATTAGGTTAATTAATCTTATATGGTTCTTTACACTTCTTTACAATTGATGCACATATCACAGGATCATTCTCATTGCAAGTTCCTAATTCAGCTTCCAAGATATTGCCCAAGTATGTTTGTTCTTACTCAAATCCAAATGGGCTGGCCCATCTAACCCTCAGGTCTCTAATGTACTTTTGTGTTTACAGTGCACTGCCCAATTTCTGCAATATTATTGATGCACCTTTGGTTGTGAAGAGGTTTCACAAATTCTAAAAGGAGGTTTAGCACACCACACTCAACTGTTTCCCGCACATTGTATGATTTAAATCTTAATTTTCAATATCTTTCCTCTCATGTGTGGAAGGAACTTGGATTCAGGAATGATGTTATCTTCGACTTCGTGGACGTGTGAGTGTTGCTAATAAATCAAAATCGTATGGTGTGTTACTCTCCCGACTGTTTTTCTTTCCTTTCCTCTTTTCTTCTCTTGAGTTACTGCTGTGAACTAACTATTTTTTGGACTCTCTCTCTCCCTCCTCTCCTCTGATCTAGTTATTTTGTTTACAAGTGTTTACCATGTGCACTACATATATTCACTTTCTTTACCATCTTGCTTACTTCTTCCACCAAAGTTTCAGTATGAAAATTTTTTTGGCAAGCTGGACTGTATGTAGATTGTGGAAGTAATGATTTAATAGTGTACCCTTTATTTTAGCACATTGAAAAAAATTGAATGATATTGTATTGGCACCCAAAAAAAATACTTTTATTGAAATAATGACCTTGATATCCTCGGGTACCGCAGAGACCTAAGGAGACTAGCAGATGTTAACAATAGTACTTAAGTTATTACCATTGACATTCTACACAATCTATGATAAGTGCTAGACCCCATAAATAATGCCTTCACACCTAGACAACAATCTCTCTCTCTCTCTATATATAATATACCACACACAAAGTGCACATATATTGTAAGAATTAAAATTTATTGTAGAACTTAAAATTGTATTGAGCAAGCAGGATCTCATATAAGAATAATGTAGTAATTTATTAAGTATACCTACCTGTGAGGAGAAGTTTTTCAAAGCAGCAGCTCTTTTTGATATCAATATCCAAGTACACATTAGCATATGTATCAGTGTAGTAGATCGGATCGTCGTTCAGTGCAAGCAAACGTTCGTTCAGACGTGTAGATCGTCGGTCGTTCAGTGTGTAGAGTTCGTCGGCCGGAGGTTACCGTCGGACGGTGGTAGGGTAGGGTAGGGTAGAGAGAGAGAGAGAGGAGAAGAGTGAGAGCGAGAGGAGAGTATAGCAGTATCACCTGTTTTCTGTGGTCTGGCTGTTCGAGAAGAAAATTAGGGCCAATCTATCACAAAAGGGCCTGAGGCGGCTGTATAAATTGGGGGAAAAAAAGGAATAAAAAAAAAGGCACGGGCAAGGCGGGTCGGTTTGCGGGGTAAATGGCAGATCACCCGTCCCAATCCGAACCCGACAACTTGAAACATTGGGCCTCCCCGTCCGCCACACACCACACAACCATTCATTTGGGGTTGGGTTGGGCGGTTCTGACAGGTCGACAGATCCGATGCACACCCTTAAATCAACGAATTTTTTCAAGAGGATGATGTGAGATCCTTTCTAATCACCACCCCATCACCCCCACACACATGTGTGTAGGTGGTTGATTGGAGGACAAGGAAAAAAAAAAAAAAAAAAAAAATCTAACCAATGAGGAGAGAGAAGATCAAAGGAGGTGAAAAAAAAAAAAAAAAAAAAGGAGGTCTTACACATTTTTCATTCCCCAAAAAGAATGCACAATAATTTTGTAGGGACCTGTTTCACATCATTATTAAAATTAAATATATATATATATATATAAGATAACAAAAATTAAAACCAACAGCTTGCACAACCAATTTTTTACTACCCGAGTTTCGGGGCGTTTCCGTTTACATGGCTAATGCTTGCTATTTTTCTTCGAGGTCGTGATGATCAAACTCCATACATTTGGTCTGAACAACAGACAAGAAGAAGAATGAAAAGAATATTACCACTGATAGAAAGAAAAGGAAAAAAAAAAACAACAGAGAAACCCAAAAAATGCACCAAGCAGAGAGGGATACAACTGAGAAAAAGGGGAAAAAAACAGAGGAACCAAAAAGTACCCCACCGAAGAAGAGAGAGAAGAAGAAGGAGAAGAGCAGCACTGAAGACTCAACTCTAGGGCGAAAATTGGATTGGGCTGCCGCGGGTTTTGTATTGGGATTTTTTTTTTTTTTAAAAAAAATTACAAATTAATTTGAAAAAAATAAATATTAGAATTATGTAGAAGAAATTATTACCAGTTATTTGTAAATTTTAAAAAAATTTAACTTAATTGAAATTTCCCCAAACAATTCTGATTTTGAATTGGTTTTAGATTTTTTAAAAACAATTTTGAGTTTTTAATTCATATTTTGTAAATATTTTTTAATATTTATTTTTTTCACTTTTTAATTTACTTAATTTAGATACACTTAAAAAAAATTGAAAAAATCTTTTAAAATTTTACTAAGGCCTCGTTTAGGAACACGTTAATTTAGTAACTTTTTAACTATTTGGTTAAAATATGAGCTAAAAAAACCTAATATGTTTGGGATGACTTTTTAGCTTTTTACGAAAAGATGTGCAAAAAGTAGAGAGAAAAGAGAATCTTTGACTTTTTAGTATGGGTTGTTAGCTTTTTGACTTTTTAATTTTTTTAATAACTTTTTAACTAAACCAACCTGCTGCCAAACAAGGCCTAAATACAAATTGAAGTTAAAGAGAAATGCCAAATCTCAATCCTTTTTTATAGCAACCAACTCAACTACTCAGAATTTATTAAAGTTATTTTTAGTGTGACAATGTTCTTCCTCCAAATTCAAATCGAACTTCTAAGAGATTGTGTAAGTGTTTCTGCTAAGTCTAACACTTCAAATTGCATGATGATTGGAGATATAATTGATGTGAAAATTGATATTTATCTTGCAAACATGTACAAGAATTTACACTTAATCAAATCAATAATTTTCACAATTAAAAGGCATTTGATTCACATAAAAGGGTAATAGGATTATATAGTTTTATCTTGAAAAATTTTAGTTTTACTATTCATTTAAGTAGTTTAAGAAAATTATGTCAACATTAGTTAACTGAGTTTCAACAAAACACATAAAGGACTGTATGAATTGACAATGAAAAAAAAGAGGTGTAATTACTTATTTTGTTGCAATCTTGCCTGTTAATATCAAAAAATGGAATTGTACTTGTGCCAATGAGGAAATTGCCCAACAAGGTTTTAATCTAATCCCTACAAACACGGCCATAAAATTGTTGCCATTGTTGTGGTAAAAAATTATCATCATTCTTTAAAAAAAAAAATTTCAAATCTTATTTTCATG